TATATATATATATATTTTTTTTACGATATTCCTAAAATCTCTTTCACGTCTAAAATCGTCGATACCGAATGTACCTCTTTGTTTTAGAACTATATATTTCTTAAAAAGAAACTAAAAATATAAAATTTTAGGAACATAAATTATCTTATAGTAATTTCACTACCATGCAATAAAATTGAGTATTTACAAAAAATACGCATATATAATTGATTTACTCTTCGGGAAGGATCATGTTGCAATAAATTACTGGATCCATATGCAATGTAGAATTCTTGCGAGATTCTGGCGAACACCGCGAGCCATCCAGCAGTAGATCACGGGATTCAAGGTACTATTTGCATATCCCAGAAAAAGGAAGTATTTCAGTGTGAGGTTTCTCGATTTTGTTGGTTCTATAAACAAAGCGTATAAGAAATTGATTAAAATTAATCTGATTATCATGTCTTAACGATATGGAAAAGATCGCATATTTTTGTTATCAGACTTTCATCGTAAAATTTTCTTGGACACATTTATATAGTCAAGCTAATAAAAATGGGAAATATATCAGGCTGCTTAATTCAATTGCAAAATATTATAAATATCTTTGAAAAATAGAAATTTTTGCAATGCTCGCACTTACTGATAACGTCGATATCCACCAAATAAACTATAATATTATAAGGCATCCAACACAGAGCAAAGAGTATAGCAAGGATTAATAATATCAGTGCAACTCGTTTTCTGTCCTGTCGTAATCTGGAGACCTGCGAAACAAAAGGCATAAGTATGACTAATTGTAAGGCATATAAGTATGACTAAACAGATTCCACGAATTTTCGTAATTTAATTGAGTTTTTAGGAAATCTCTATAATAAAAATTGTTAATTTAATTATAAAATTTTAAAAGACCCCTCATTGATCTGACCTGTAACGAGCTGATACTTTTCCTGTTGTCGCAGTCGGAGGGTGGCTTTTTAAACCAAAGGGTGAAACCAACCATCGAGTAGGTTAATAATACAATGAGACCTAAACGTATGATAAAAAAACATAAAAAGAAAAAAATAAAGACAGATAATTTTGCAAAATATGTATTCTAATCACATGTGCTTGTGTTAGAATAAACGCATGAGAATGTTTTAAGAATTAATATACTTCTCTTGTTTAGTATAAAAGTAACAAGTACACTAGTTCATTCGCCTTTACTCAGAAAGTATTGTGTACAAAGAACTAAAATAGAAGATGTATAAGCAAGCACGCGCTCCCACCCGTGTATAATATACCGTGTATAATATTTTAAATTTAGGTTGTAGATTTCAGATTTATGCATGGCAATCTGAATGTACAAGAATCCGATATGTACGTTTTGGCACGTTTATATAAAATGATATAAAACAGAAGTTCGCGCAATCTTATGAGAGAACAATAAAGTTTTTATACATTTATTTATAATCTTACATGGAATAACCATAAAGAATAGGAAGAATACGGTTCCGAAGACGTCTCGTTGGATTCCCAGTGACTTGTAATCCGACAAGCAGAAATTGAAATCTGGCGGCATCGGCGAGCTGCTATTATGCGAAAAATTCTGAATTTCTATCGAGTCCACATCAGTCATGTTGATAAATTCCTTTATTGAATGGAGTCTCACCTGCGGGAAAGGGATGAGAAAAGGTAAATTGCATATAACGCATATGCTAATATAAGTATATAAAATAGAGATAAAATTTTCATCAATTAGTGTCTACGATTTGTCAATCAGCACAGATTCAGGTACCAATAATCTAGATGACTTACTGCTCTATAAGTCGTAATAAAGAAAGCCATGGACGTCAGCCAAATACCCACGATAACGAGAATGATGTTCCTATGACTACATATGTAGCGGAAAATCATGGGCTTTCTTATGGCCAGATACCTATCGATGCTCATAGCCGCAATAGTGTATATTGAGACAGCAACACCTACACCTGTTGCAAACACGAGTGGTTATGCTGTTAGGAAATTTTTATACGTCATAAAATACTCTGTATATATATTTTATGACATACATAAATTTAATATACGTATATTTTTATATAAACGCATATATACATTTTCTTTCTAATCGGATAATGCATTTGTGCTTGTAATGTTTTTATGTATATAAATAAGTGACATGCAAAAAATATAAGTATAGAAAATGATTTAAAAATCAGCAATATTATTTACACAATGAAATAAAAAAGGCATTCAAACAATATAATAAATGCAATTAAATTGTATGATCAATTATTGAATTATACTTCTCGACTGTAGAAATATTTACTTCGCACATAAAAAGTCAGTTTGCACAAGAATTCACTATAATTCCATGACTTCGATATTTCTAGGCTGATCATCATCGGCATGCATATTGTGATAACCAATAAATCAGCCACGGATAGATTGATCAGAAAATAATTTGTAGCGCTGTAAAAAAAAATTGTATCTTCATTTTTACCCATAAAGTATAAGTCTTTTTCTCTTTTTCTTTTTATGATTTATTTATATATTTATGATTTAAATATATTAATATTAATAAATTTGAAGCTTAATTATATATATATGTATATATGTATATATATATATATATATATATATATATATATTCTATTCTATTAATACACTCTATAAATAATTATTCTTTATATGATGATGATCTTGATTCGTTAATAATATTTAATAAATATAATATTTTTTATAATATTGAGAGAAATGTTTAAGTTAATGCAAGCAAATTAACTTCAGCTAAGAATTGATAAGTACGAAATTGATGGAAAACTCCGTAATCTTACGTTCTTATTTTCGAAAATTTATTTTTATTAAATCATTTTTTATGACAACCAAACCAATATACAATTTATTAAAAGCTTTATATTTAAAAAATTTTAGCCAATAATGTTTTAAATTTATACTAGCATTATAGACGCCCGCTTTGCACGCGCTATTTAATATTTTTACTATATACCTAATTGTCATTATGCAATACTGATTGGTTCTCTTGCTGCGCTTTGTGAGCGGTTGTCATTACATATTTTGACAGTTACGTGTATGTTGATATGTACTTGCAAATTATAGTAAAAAGTGCTAAATAGCGCGCGCAAAACGCTAGCAAACTGTAATGCTAGTGTATATTTTAAAAATGGATTTGAAACAATCAGTAATCCGGAAATCTGTAAAAAATTCAGCACAGCACAATATAATTTAATTAATAAAAATAAAAAATTCAGAAGATACGGATGCTAATTTCGCGTATTGCCTTTTTATGAACATATATTAGAATATATATCATATAATTCAATTTTATAATTAGTACACTCTGAACCGAATTAAAAGAACTCCGCACATACCTCTTTAAATAATATTTGGAGATCATAATAATTATAAAAATGTTAGCTATCACACCGACTAGCACAGTTGACGCGTAAAGCATAATCAACAGGTAGTCCTTATTGCTTCCATGAAAGTAATTATATAACGTCCATAGAATCTCGACCACATTGTCGTTTTTTGATGATAAAGTCTTGTTCGCCATTTCACTGTGATCTTCGGTGCGGTCTTACTTTACGACTGGATCCTGAGTCCGATTAAGACCAGGGGCTCATACAAAAATATTAAAATAAAAAATAACGGTGAGAGCATCAAATAATTCGGTAGATTACAAGAAGAAATTTACAGGCCTCAATCCCGATGGCAGGAATCCACTCCAACGACTTTTCGTTCGAGCACGAGGAACAAGTTTCCGCGGTTTTGTCACAGCGCGGTAGCGACGGCCGAAAGTCTTGTGCACAATGTGGTCCAAAGTAGTTCTGACTCTTTGCATATGTGGAATATCTCTTTTTGGCGTCGAGGCTTGACATGAGAAAAAGGTTCTCGATGGTAACACTTGGAATAGTCGTCGGGGTCGCGGCACCGGTTTGAATTGATAGCGGTCGGAGCAGCGACGCACGCACGAGACTGTTTAGCGGCAGCTTTATTTTCCTTAAGCGTTTGTGTAGAAATTCGGGATAGACGGCTATAGCCAACGGTATTCATACAATTACACAAGCCAGTACTTGTAGATATTATCTTGACGTTCGGTTTTATCAGTGCTTCCTTTCAATCTGTGATCTCCAGCTTGCTTATTCATTAACAAACAGTATTATAACAGAATATTAATAAAACGAACGAATTCAAATAAAAGCTTAAAAAGTTTTAACTGACATTTTTGCAACATACATTTTTGTATTTCATGCCAATTATTTATTATAAATAAATTAATTCAAAATTTTTACTATAAATTTTTAATTAACAAAACGTAAGTAAAATATTTTACTTAAAATATAATCTTTTCTAAACTATAATTTTCGAAAATTTCAATATACAAATTCTATTTTCTACAAAATTTATTCTTTTAAAAATAGCGTGCGTTGTAGAATATAGGCTACTAAATTTTCTTTCCTTACAATTTTTCTAAATATTTTTTTTTTTTCACATAAATCAAAAAGATTCTACTTTTTTATTTGTATTTATCAAGAGCGATCTAGATCGAGGGAATAGATTTTTATTAAATTTATAAATTTCGAAATAGATTCTTCACCTCGATATAAATTTTAAACATGTATCGATGCGCGCAGCGTGACTGCCGCGCCATTGTAAATTGATATGTAAACGACTTATTGTTAATATAATGCCATTGAAATACAATACCATTGAAATTTGAATCACAAACGTAAATGCAGACGTATTATGTTATATAAACAACAAATTATACTTATGCTGCGATGTATGCTAAAAAAGCGCCTATAAAATTGTAAAAGAACATCCGCTTACGACGTCTATACAAATGAAAAAAACTCTTCGTTCTTTTCGACTACCAATAGATATGTATATCGATAAATTCGTTGTTTACACTTCATACAGTTTTCAAAAATTTATAAATTGTTACGTAAAACATAGTCACTACGTTTTATACATAGTTACTTAGAATCACATTTTTCATTGCTGATTTAATTAGAATAAGTATACCGTAAGTATATCTGTCAGAAATCAACTCCTTATTTCACCTACGTATTAATTACAATTAGACACATAATCACATGTGTATATTTTTAGTCTTAAGCTTTCATTTATTTACCGGTTTTGATATAATAAAACCGCATAAACATTATACATAATTTAAAGTGAAATTAATTAACGAGCTATCCGCGGCTGACTTATTCGCATGTGTGAAGTTAGCACCCCAACAATAAAATTCCATAGTTCTGATTAGAGTTCCCGTTTCATTTTGAAGGAACGAAGAGTTTTTTATAATTTATAACAAACCGCTTAGAACTATTTAATTACGAATTTTGATAAGAAAAACTTTAATCAGAATTATGGAATTTTAATGTTGGACCGAATGCTATATAATTCCCCTCCAACACTTATTTGAAGTATTATTTTCTTATACAATTTAATTCTAAAAGAATTCTGGAAGAGGACCTAGCATCAGATTTTATTTAGCAAGAAAAAGAATCTGATCCTCTTTAGGGAAAGAGGAAGGAAGAAAAGTAAAACAACGCATCAACATATCATAACAGTTTTTTCTACTGTACATCCGGTATTAACATCTGGTTCCAGTCTTTTCGTCATCCGTGAGATGTAAGCCTACCAAAAAAATAAAATTGTATGCGCACACACGTTGTATTTGGCACAAGAGAAAATGATGTATTTTCAATTACAGTTCATTCGGTGTTGTGTTTTTTTGCAACTGATTTGTAAAGTGATAATATGCCCCTCACATTGAAACAAAGCTAGAGTATCTACGAAAAAACTGAAAAGAAAATTTTGTAACTCAAAATATATATTATATAATTTTGTCAACTTTTGAAAAAAAAATCAAAACTTGCTGTGCTAATAGCTTTAGTTTAAAGACAGTTATAGTTTTAAAAACATAATCTCTGAAGATTTACACTTTCAGTTTTTGATAGTTTTATGGCATTATCAGTTTTCTTTCTATTATTATAATAAATTATAAATATTAATATTTTTGCATGTGATATATTTTATTATATATATAATATAATAATTTCTCAATTATATCGTCTGAAGTGGTGCTGGGATTTAATTTCAATTTTCAGCTCGATTTTCAATGGATTGTGATGCCTACTATTTTCTCCTTACTGCTCGCATTTTAACGTTACTGGATGCACGTAATTAACAACAATGATACACCGTCCTATCTAATTGTAAATTTGAGCTTTAGATATATTCTAGTATTAAAATAATACATTTTTTGTAACTGCTCGATTTTATTTTACGGGATTGCAAACACTTTCTAGAATTAAAATCAATATTCGTTTTTTAAAATTGAAACGTTAAGATCAAGATATGAAAAAAATTTTTTGATAGTTTTACGGCTTTTATAATAATTGACGTACTTTATAATAATTACATTAAATTATAATAAGTACATTGAAAATAAAATGCCGTTTTTTCAACATCCATCCTTACTTGTCGGTTATATCGCCGTGTTTGATCTGTAAAAAACGCTCGTATTATCGTAGCGACGACATGCTCTCTTTATGTGTAAAACGAAAAATTAAATTTCATGAATATTCTGTTACGGACAAATGTCTTGTTGTCATGGCGTGTGACAAAAATTAATCAAGCGATAAAAGCATTATATCTCTACCCCGATTGTACCCCTTTACCTTTTGTACATGCGGAACTGTGTGACTTTTCCTTTCGAATCTACAGCCGATCCGTAAAGTCGCGAGGAAAGATAACGATGGAGCGGGATGATCGATCAAACTTTCGGATGCAGATGCATTGAGATTACTGCTAGACGTTAGCAGAATGAAGGATCACTAGATATGTAGTTATACCAGAGGCTATCTGTGAAAGTAACGAAAATTATGAAAGTATGAAGGATCTTCGAAACGATTTTGTGCAACGACGGATTAAATAAAGCACAAACAATTTCGGATGATTATCGCTTCTCATCTTTATCGTGTAAAAGTGCTCTCGATATATTTTGTATTTTAGTACAAAAATTGTTTTTTTACACTATTTTTCTCACCGAAAGAAGCAATGGAAGATCGATGCGTATGATTCCGTAAGAGGCAAAGAAATGTACTTGCTGCAGTTGGAAGTAGGTCACAGCTTCCACACTGCAATCCTGCAGCAATTATTTAATAATTATTTATTTTAATTAATACAAAATAGTAGTTTAGGTTAGTTGCTTAAAAAAATTGACAAGAAAGAAATTTTAATTTTATTGTTCTTTATTACTATATTCTTTACTATTTCGTTCTTATTTTAATAATTATAGTCAATAACAAAATTTTAGCACAAATAAAAATTTTATTTTATAAGAGATTAAAATTAGAATTGATTAAATTAGCAAAACTTTTACCTGCGTAAAAGTTCTTTTAACGATAATGGCTGATGACGGTGTAAAGGCGATTTTGCCAACGCGATTAGCCTTGGAAAAAAGAAACAAGAGTTAAAAACTTGTCAATCACGTGGGGAGGGACTTCCTAGCTGCCCTTCCTGCTCGAAAATAAATCAACATACTTGGGTCGCAGTCACGTGACAAATGATGGTAATGATCAGCAGATTTGTCACACAAGCAGACACCAGTAAAATTTCTCTCACCATCAGCAGGGGCTGTGAATTCACGCCGTTACTGTTGATCGTGTAGATTCGTGTAAGTGTATTGAACGACATACAGGAGATCCACAGCAGAAGCTGCATCGCGTACACGGAGTTTATCATCTCGGTCGCGTTGGTGAGACACGAGTGCAACCACCACACTTCCTGCAAACGAAACTGCTTACCCGAGCGATCCACCACCATGATTTTACCATCTGTTTAAACATGCAACATCGCATGTGATTATTCTCAAGTACTGGAGACGATTTGACAACTATTAATTTAATGATTATTAATTATGCCTTTTAAGTCTTATTTATCTCACTAAAGATAATTGCAGTTTGCAATTATGTAGCCGTATTTTATAATAGATTTCGTTCACGTAAAAAATGAGTTTAATAAATATATGTGGGTAGATTTATTTTATCTCGAATATTGTCTCTTAAAGATAGCATCTCTTTAATTTTACTGGCCGTTAATCAAATTTACTTCCGTCATTTTATCGAAGGATCTGTTTATTCGCATTTATGAGCGATAAGTCAATGTCGTTATTTATTTTCCAGGACTTCGAGCCTATTAAGACTACCCTGTTCTTCATCGCGTCGAATCGCGTGGGAAAGCAGGCGTGTCGGCACGCAGACAGTTAACGTAGATGATATCAAGTAGACGGTGAACGTTCCAATAAAACGGAAAAATTAAAAATAAACTAGTGAGAGTAGAATAATTGGAGAGTTTAGGAAGGCATTGGAAAGTTATAACTACTACTAAAAATAGAGAATTTAGAAAGATATTAGAAATTTATAATTCTACATTAAATTTTTTAGGGGGAGGGGGGAATGATGGATTGATTTTAGCGTAAACAAACCTTTTTTCTTAAATCTTTTTCTTTTTTCATTTCACGATTATGAAATGCTACATAAAGCTACAAATAGTGATACAAGCTAATTGTAAGCGAATTATTAACGCATTAATAAACGCGAGAGACAACATACCATTCTTTGCAAATAATCTACCTTCGGGTAGCAGCAATAATTCACAAAGACGGCTGAATCTCTTGTACAGAAGGGATGACAGGCTGGCGAATGTCATCAGCTGCATCGACAGTGTCACGTTAACAATGGCGTAAGTTACACCGTTGAACACGGAATCATTGGGCTCGACGCTACGAATGACAAAATTGCGAATGACAGTGCAATCGTATGAAAAAGATCATGGGGGTACAGAGTGGGTTTATACCTGTGAAATAATTATTAATAAATAATGTCGCACGATTGTCAATATAATTCTGTTTTTCTGATATCTAACTTTTTTACTTACTACTTGCATATTTTGTAAATTAATTTTATAAATTAATTATTACATATAAATGGTTATAAATTAGTCTGACAAATCATATTTAATATTATTGTACACTGATGAAGTCATTAAAGCATAAAAAAATAATCATCAATATTACTGTTTAAAATTCTCCTTTTTTCTGCTTAACATAAATTCTAAAATTTATATAACAAAACTCTTCTTTCTTATACCGTCATATTGTATTGTAAAGGAATATTAAATATAATTAAATAAATTTTTCTTTACTTGTAGTAAACATACTATTATTGTTCCCTTTTAATACCTGTTTATATAAAAATTATTAATACTTACCGGAACGTTATATATCCAACTATTGACCAAAACGACAAAATAGCGAAGGTCATTGACCAACAGATGTAACGTATCCTGTGGGGATGTTTAGGCTCCTTGTATTTCGTCGCTCGGTCGAAGATACGTAAATGCGAAAGTGCAGCTCGTATCTTCCAGTTATACCAGTATGTCATCGCAATGTCGCTTAGGACACAGGCATACGAGAGACCTGTCCTCACCACGGTGAGCGTCAGCAGCCTCGGTCCGAGCACGGTGTCCCAGCGGAGCATGTAAAAATTCGCGATGCAGAGACTTGCATACAGGAATGCAAACAGGGTCGAGTAAATAGCGCCGTACATCATTATCACGATATCGTCCTCCTTGACGAGGAAAAGTCCACATCCAAACAGTCTCGCGGTATGCAAAAGGGGTCGTATGTCACTCAGAGACACCATTGCCTATTATCGATCCTGACGCTCGAAAATTAAAAAAAACGTAGAACGAGAAAAAAAATAGAGAAATAGTCACGATTTCCGTTGGTTCTCTTAATTTAATCGCTTCTTAATTATTTATTCTTCTTATTCTCTGCATTTTTTCTTAATAACGCGCAAAACTGTAGTTTCAAGTCGGACAAATCACAACACTATACATATATTGCCGATTCTGATTTTAACAATAAAAAAGATAGCTAACGCCTTTGCGAAATATTGCAAGATTAACGTCGCAATCCTCGTTTCTTAATTTAAATGTTTCTTATAATTATCTATTTTTCTTATTCTCCATTTTTTTTAAATAAGATTTTTAGATAAGACAGCAGCGTGAGAAAAGCGCAAAATTGCAGTGCCAAACAACTCACATCGGCGTAATAAAAATCTCGCAGTGTACATACATGGGCATAAAATACTGCATATATTATATATTATTATATTACAGAAAACGATAACGACGAGAGAATATAAGACACAGAGATCTGAGTCAGAGAGATTGTTCTGACCTTTGACTTTAGAAAAATGTCGAAAAATTTTTCAATATCTGATACTCTGCGTGTAACTCGCGTTTACCGGGACACACGTGCGAAATGTAAGACAAACATGATGTGCAGTTTAACTCATAAAATTTTATAAATTAAAGACATAACAAATGTCCCGTGTACGTGTATTCTTATATATTATATATTATATATACGAAGCAACGCAGACGAGTAGAATGTCTCACCGAGATCAGGAGCAGTTCTCATACTGACATATATAAGTATAATACACGTGTCGCACCGCGAGCGAAAACCGATCCTAAATTACAGAGCCACTTCAACGTAAGAGGTCGATTTGTCAGACGAGAAAGATCCGAAATTGTCGGATAATTGCGACTAAGGGAAAAACTATACTCATATAAAACTACTCCGATCGATCCTAAATTGCAGAGGCACTTCGACGTGAGAGCTAGGTCGATTTGTCAGATAGGGAAGGTCCGAAATTTTTGAATAATTGCGACTAGAGAAACTACTTATAAAAAACTACCCCGAATCGGCAGCTCATCGGCGTCTGCCCGCCGAAGCGAACGTACATACTACTATCGGTCCGTAAACGTAAAGTTCTTTCACTTGGCCGCTCCAATAGTGATGTCAGTAAGATAAATGGAGAGCTTGCCGGGCGCATGGCCTTTCCAGTGCTTCACGCCCCGCGATATTAATCTGCCACCATATGATAGGGTAAATGTTATCGTAACCCCGCGCGAACAATTAACACACCTGTCTCGTTCAAAAATTTCACGTTGTGACAGAGAGACTGACGTTCATCACCGTTCACTGCCTTCTGTTCGTTGCGATTAACAATTCCGTGGAAAGGGGGAGGGGATGGATTATTGCTGCCTCTATCTATGAAGAAGAAAAAAAATTCGACGCGAAGGGTATCAACGAGCACGCGCCGCGCGAGCGTCGCCGTTGCACTCGCCCCCGACATTCTGATCGCGATTAGATGTTAAATGCTCCGAGATTAATGAGTCGCAATAGGAAAAAGCTGCACCCTGCATTTGCCGTTTGTCCCGTAAGTAGAGATGGAAGTGGATAGACGCGAAGAGCGTCGTCTTGAATTACAAATAAGTTTACAATCGGACGCTGTCATCTCATTCCCGTAAAGAGATATAAAATTAAAGAGAGATTAATATTTTTTTTTAAAGAGAAATAAAATGGAGACAAATCCTGTCTCCATATCGTCGTGCCGTGATAAACAATTTTAATCGCCGATAAGACTTGGCCGCGCGACAGTACAGAGAGAGGTTTTCACGTGTGATGAACTGCTATGCATGTGGCATATTGTAACTTAATATCCGAGGCGTGCGAAACGGAAATTCCAATAAGCCGCGCCGATGACGTCGCACAAATGTCGCAGTTATTTTCTCCATCTGTGATACGTGGCATAAATCAACATTTACACATGAAATGAAAAGTATAGGGCGGCAGCGACGTAGATCATTAGCGCTTAAAAGCCAATGGAAACATTTGGTCTGCATGTAACATATATATAATCGCTGGAAACGTATAGGACTTGTGAAGAGAAAAAGTAGGAAGATTTCGAATGCGAATAGAGTAACGATGCTGTCGCTTTTTACGACAACGACGTTATCTCGCTTATTAATGATTGGCGAAGTCCCTTCAACGCAGACTAGTAAAATCCTACGTCGCGGTGTATACACATACTGAGGATTGAGGATATATGGAGTAGACAAATCTATTTGTTCGTATTTTGGACGACATCGAAGACACGTCTTCTCGCGTTATAATGATTTGATCGAACGTATGTAACGGTGGTACATGTGTAAAAAAATATGTACACTCGTTAAGTAAAATGTCAGTAAGCTCCTGTACGTATTCGCTAGAAATTCCGAAATCGTTATGTCATTTATCAAAAGAAAAAAGAGACGATCAATGATATACATCCTCGCCCGTTATTGTCGACAAAAGACAACAGAACTATCTAGATAGATTTTATCTCTATTCTCCCAGTTTCTATTGTGGTGTCTATAGTGGTGATTATGATCCTTTACCTATAAAAAATTCAAACTTTTAGTAAATTTAGAACAAGGTTTAAATGTAAAAAGTCGCTGAAGTTCGTAAATATCATTCATTTCTAAGGATTATTGGAATTATCACGCAATAATAAGAGTTTTCTGAGTTATTAGATCGACACGAGTTTTGGTTCCTAGATTAAAATTATTATGGATAATTGGATAAACTGGGATCGTCGGTTGGAATGGATATACTTTTAGAATAGATCAGAAATATAATTAAGCGTTTGAATGATAGGATAGTGATATATATTACATTAAGTAATGTATTTGGCATTTGCTTGTGACTTAATAACGCGACATGCTCAATAATTATACTCAAGAATCGCATAGAATGCAGAGCATCAAGACTCAAAGAAATCCCATACAGCACAGAAGCTTGCCACAATATTGCAGCAAAGTTGCAACATTGCATATTGCAATGCAATGCTTCAAAAACATTGTTAAAATATAGATTTGCAATATTTAAAAAAAAAGTGAAAAGAATTTACCACGATTTTGTGTTTAAATTTTTGCAGCCTCTTCAGCACAATCCGATGGGACGTGCATAGAAATTAACTTTTGTTTAGTAACTAATTAATCGCGCCTACCCCGATTTTTTCACCACTGCCATTTCGAAGAAAACTCATATATGGGATGCGCTGGCTTTGATACTAAAATTCTCGCAAACTCTTCAGCACAATCCGATGGAACGTGCATAAAAATTAACTTCTGTTTAATAACTAATTAATCGCGCCTACCCCGATTTTTTCATCGCTGCCGTTTCGAAGAAAACTCATGCCCTGGCTTTGATACTAAAATTCTCGCAAACTCTTCAGCACAATCCGATGGGACGTGCATAAAAATTAACTTCTGTTTAATAACTAATTAATCGCACCTACCTCGATTTTTTCACCGCTGCCGTTTCGAAGAAAACTCATATATGGGATGCGTTGGCTTTGATACTAAAATTTTCGCAGCCTCTTCAGCACAATCCGATGGGACGTGCATAGAAATTAACTTAACTGTTTAGTAACTAATTAATCGCGCCTATCGCGATCAGAGGGAAGAAAAGAGAGAAGAGAATAATGCTTCTCTCTGTACACGATTAGCACGGTCACGAACCACGTTCTAATGCTATGGTTTGATCGACAATGTCATAAGATAGACCTGGTACGTAGTTCCTTTTTTGAAGACGTGGACGTGGGGCGTTAGTGTACGGGGGAGATCGCTTTCACGCTTCTCTCTGACGACTATTAATGGTTAGGTTAGGTTAGGCGCGCTTTTGAATAAAGTGCCTTTTGCCTAGATTGTTGTATCAGTTGTGCTCAGTGCTGTATGTTGATCTACTAATTAAATTAAAAGAACTGTCGAGCAAATTAAAATTTTTTGCAAGTTTGCAACGAAACTAATCTTTTGTGTTAACACTTTACTTTATTATCTGATCATATGTATGTACATAGTTCTGTGTTCAAATCAACATTGGACAAGGTTAACTAGTCGCGCGAATCGGATCCGCTGAACTCTAAAGCCGAAGGAAAAAAGACCCGATCTGTTCATGTATCGAAATAAACCCGTGAAGGGATTTGTATCCCCTTTCGTTCAACCGCGGACAACCGCGGACAAGGAACATGACGTAAGTGAAATATCCGTGTGTCAAAAAGAATCGTCGAGCGATTTGGTGAGAGAGCCTCTCCGGAATACCTTGAAAGTTTTGAACTTGTTCGAGAAGGAGACTCAGGAAAATGAGGTCGGGCACGATAATGTCCGCTCGGAGAATAATCCATCGAAGAAACGAAATGCCAGTTCTCCAGTACGCGTGAAAGAAACGTCGGCCGTTGACTCGCCCCGATCGACGACAAAGATGTAAGTACTCTGAAAGTAAACGTTAGAACGGATAGAATACATGCAGATCTATCTCGATTTTATTTGCTTGTAAATAAATATTGACATACATCTTTTACAGCGTTTTTAACGTGATGTACGGCAAGATAACTTCGAAAAAGCACAAAACATGGGACGGCGACGGTTTGCTAGAAGTAACTGGGAAGAGTGCAATTCTTAAGGTGACTCAGCGCATCCATTATAAAGTCTTATTAACAATTTAAATTCTCATTAAACAAATTTTGAAGATTGTTAACTTTTCCGATACGACAGGAGTTGGATGGTAAAGTTATGGGAAGAACTACAATCAATCTGAGCAATGTGGCAGAAGGCTCCAGATTAATCATAGGAAACAAACAAATAGAGGTAAAAGTGGATCGATGTATATGCTCTTTGCTTCCTGTTTCTTGCTTTTTTTACCTCATATCTTTTTCTCTCTTTGCGACCGTTTTATCGACAATCGTGTTTCTTGTCATGTATTTTCTGTCTCTTCTGAAATTTGTCAATTTTTATCCTGAGCGAAAATAAAGGATCAGGATATAAGAGGCAAAAAGACATGGGTGATAAAAAGTTGTAAAAAGTAAGAAACAAGAAACAAAGAGCACATTGTAGATCCCTCTTAAGAGTTGTATTGATCTTTATTTATGCAATATTGTTTGTTGAAAAACTTAGACAAAGTTAATTTTAGATTATAGATCGAGTATCACAAGAGCTATCTGTGCCAGAGAAGAAATGCCTGGAAATGGCAGTAGAGGAACCACTGCAAAAAAAACTTAAAACATTTTCTAAATGCGTATTTCTGTTACCAATGAAAAATGATAATGCTGGAGCTGACGAGAGGAAAGAATCAGTCGATTCATCTGAGGCGAAGACAAAAACGTAACTGTTTTAAAAGTAAACTTTAACTAATAAATTTTTATCTCTTGCTTTAATAAGTAAATATTGATATAGCATGTTCAACGTGATGTACGGCAAGATAACTTCGAAGAAACATAAAACGTGGGACAGTGACGGTTTGCTAGAAATTACTGGGAAACGCGCGATTCTTAAGGTAATCAACTGCACCAACGGCATCAGCTGCAAATCTCTTATCTTGAAAATTATTGTAAATGCTTCTGGTACAACAGGATTTGGATGGTAACGTCGTGGGAAAAACTACAATCAATTCAAGTAATGTAGTAGAAGGCTCCAGATTAATTATAGGAAACAAGGAAGTTGAAGTAAGAGGATGCATTGACGTTTTTATTTATGTAGCATGAGAACAAAATCTAATAAAGTTAAATAATTCTAGATTATAGATCAGGTGTCCCAAGAGCTGCTTGTATCAGAAAAGAGTCTTGAGAAAACAGTAGAGGAGCTATCAAGAAATAAGTTTAAAGCATCATCTACACATGCATTTACACCCTTGTTTTCATCCACACAAGGTTCTACAAATTTATAATATATTATAATATATTAATCACATTGATGTAATCATGATGTAAATAAATATGTTAAATATTTATGTTAAAGGATTGGCATTGAATAGCGAGCCTTTAGTGATGCCATACTTGAATTCCACTGAATGGATAAATCAAGAGGAGCAGGAAATCTCGGTTGATTCCTGTTTAGTGGCAAAGCTTAGAGAGCATCAACGCCATGGAATTGTGTTCCTCTATGAATGCTTGATGGGACTAAAAGTACCAGATTATTTTGGTGCAATTTTGGCCGACGAAATGGGCCTTGGCAAAACCTTACAATGTATTACATTAATTTGGACAATGTTGAAAAAGGGTCCGTATGGCCAACCGATTGTGAAACGTGTGTTAATAGTAACACCCAGTAGCTTGTGCAACAATTGGGAAAAGGAATTCATAAAATGGTTGGGCAGCCACAGGATATCTCCGTGTGTTATAAGTGGAAAAAATAAGCCCAAGGACTTTACCAAACATCCGAGAAATTCGGTGATGATTATTAGTTACGAGATGTTCATTAAATATCATACGGAGATTAGTGAAATTGCCTTCGATTTGATTGTATGCGACGAAGGCCACAGACTAAAAAATAGCAATGTAAAAGCAGCAAAAGTAATTATCCATTTGATTTTCATTATTAATAACATTATAATTTATTATTAATATAATGTAAATGCATATTTATGTGTTGTTTTGTCTTACAGCTATTACAGGAGATAAATTGTAAGAAACGAATTATTCTGACAGGTACGCCCATACAGAATGATTTGAAAGAATTTTATGCACTGATCGACTTCATTAATCCCGGCATTCTCGGCACTCCTGCTGAATACAAGAATTATTACGAGGAACCGATTGTCGCATCTCAGTGTCCTCATGCCGACGATGATGTTCTCAGTCTCGGTAATGAAAGATCCACAGAATTATACGAACACACAAAATCGTTCATTCTGAGACGTACGCAAACGGCGATAAACAAGTATCTGCCGCGCAAATATGAAATAGTTCTGTTTTGCTCCTTATCTAAGAAACAAAAAGATCTATATACTCTCGTTACCGACGCTTGGTTCAACAAGATTTGTCTAGAAGACAAAAGTAATATGCATTTGTCTATTATTACCGCTCTTAAAAAAATCTGCAACCATCCAAATCTGTTCCTGAACGAAAAGGAGAACGCGCTGTATGACACTTTATCAAGATCATCGTGTATATCGCAAATAAAACGGGACGAAAACTTTATCGAGTATTGCGGAAAAGTCACAATTCTACGAACATTAATGAGAAATCTAAAGAAGACTGACGAGAAGCTGGTGTTGGTCTCCTATTACACACAGACGCTTGATCTTCTTGAGACTATATGCAACATGGAAGGATTAAAATTCTTAAGATTAGACGGCACTATTTCCACCTCTGCACGATCAAAAGTCATCGACCAATTCAATACGCCCACTGACAATAGCAGTAAGTTCCGCAAAAATCAAGAGACGTAATTGTGTCTCGCGTTTATACGGTATATTCGGTAATAAAAACTGATATATTACAGAAAAATAAATTCTTACAGAAGTTCTTTTGCTAAGTGCAAAGGCAGGTGGCGTTGGCTTGAATTTACCTGGAGCATCCAGACTTGTGTTATTTGATTCCGATTGGAATCCTGCATCTGATATGCAAGCAATGGCAAGGATCTGGAGAGAGGGACAGAAAAGGAATGTTTATATTTATAGGTTTGTACAAATTTAATATTATTGCACAGTAATGTATTGTAATAGGAGATATGTAACTTTGTGTGTACGAATTTGCAGATTATTGACCACAGGTACGATAGAGGAGAAAATTTATCAAAGACAAATTAGCAAAGCTAGTCTAAGTGAGTCGGTAGTGGATTTGAATCATCTTGGATCTTTAAAGTTATCTACTGTGGAACTAAAGGTACGTTTTATTATAAAGATTTTGACGATCATTACGAAAATCATCACTTAAATTATTCTTCATTTTTTTTTTTAGGATTTATTTACGTTGGCAAGCGATACAATTTCACTAACACATGATTTAATGAATTGTTGTTGTTCTGGCCGGAATGAACACATACTTACTAAAGAATTGATAGAGAAAAATAATGAAACGCGAGATTGTCAACTTATATTATATGACAAACCATCTCAACAAAATTTGACGATAAATCAACTTCGAGATTGGCAACATTATAAGCAGCCAATTCCATCTGACATCATGCAGGTAATAAGCTGTTTAAATTGGTAATGATAATTAAAAATTAGGATTCAAAATTTATGATCTAATTTATTTTACAGGATATTATGTTAACAGAAACAAGTGATTATATAACATTTATATTTAAAAATTGTACAATGTAAAAAGCAATTGATGTAAATCACCATATAAATTATAAATCACAAAAATCCATTATAAAATTATATAATTTGTAATTTGAATACCGTATTCACCATTTTTATTAAAAGATATATGCAGTATTTTAGTTATTTTAAAGCTTATTTTTTCGCGATAGGAATTTCATTATTCTTTCGAGTAATTCGGGTGACTCGAATCGTTTTTTCAACTCTTTCATTTCTTCTTCATTAACTTTTAATAAAATCTCTTTATTCCATCTACTCACCAATCGCTTGGTCGCCAATATTGACTGAAATTAATCGATTAATTTTATTACGACGGTTTAAAAAGTAATGTCAAAGGAAATTAATCGCACGGAGAACATCAAGCAAAAATAATACCTGTGACGAAAGTGTAGATATTTTGTTCAAATAATTCCATACTTCTTCAAGAGAATCATGGTTGTACACTTCGCTAACCAAGCCAAGTTGCTTGGCTTCTTGAGCATTCATCTTATATCCTAAATACAACATGTCCCCAGCCTAAATAAATGTTTTTGTAATGTAATATCGAAATCTTAATCATAGAATTATATTATATTAAGGAGTAAAATTTCAGATACAAATCTTAATAACAATTTGCACATATTTTTTAAATGAAACATACCTTGGAATGTCCTAATAATCTCGGGAACGTATAGGAAGAACACCCTTCGGCAACAAGACCCAAAGAGCTGAACGGTGTGTAAAAGTATGCCTGTAATGTATTTATGTAATACATTTAAGTATAGTTATATGTCCAAAATATTCTCATATATTGAACAATTATCGGCACCTTATCTGAAGCATAAACTATATCAAAAATTCCTAATATTGTAGTTGCGATTCCTATTGCTGGTCCATTCACAACGGCTATTAAAAGCTTTGGATACATAATTATAGTATCGATTAATTCCCTGTAAAATATATTTGTCGATTTGATTTCCATATTTACAGAGGCATAAATCTGTTATATACCTCCTTCTTACGATGCTTACTTAATTGTATTTTCAGCAGAATTCTCAGCAGATTCCATTGAGGCAGTTATGTCATTGCCACTGCTAAAAAAATCTCCATTTGCGGTCAATGCAAATATCAATACTTCGTTGTTTTCAGCAGATTCATTTAATAGTATCGTTAATTCCTTATACATCTGCAAAAAGATAGGAAAGTTATATGTGATTATCTTTCGATCTTGCATATGATATCAAGCAGGATTGTGAAGTAACGCAAAGTTACTTATAGCGTCGTTAATTACTTTGTAATTACTTTATTATTGTTATCGTTATTTCTTTCCGGTAACAATTGTTACTTTTCTCCATTTGTGAAGATAATATAGTAACGTCATCAGTCATATCTTTTATCGTTACTTTAATTCCCTATTACATACCTTTATGCCTATTCAATAAATTTGCACATCTTTTTAGCGTGCAAATGCAATTATAAATTTCTTTATTTTTATATTTTACATTACACATAAAAAATATATTTATATTTTAAATTGCATTTCGATAGTCATTATCATTACTGTCAATAATGAAAGTCTACACATATATATGTGACATAAACTCCTGCAGATTTTCAATACTGGCAATAAACGTATGAACATGCAAATAAAATTAATGTTTAATAAAAAATTTGCATTTGTGCACTTATGAATTGCAGTCTAAATTTATATAAAGTACTAAAAGATAAAGATATTAATGTAAGATATTTCTAAAGATAAATATTAAAAGATACAGATATTAATATAAAAGGAATTAGTATAGAATTATTAAATAAATTTAATATAAAGAAAAAGCTTGTTATATAATTTGTAATTTAAAGTTTTAACATTGATTTTTAAATAATATATAACTTTAAAATGTAATATCTTTTACTTCAGCATTACATAAAAAGTTAAGTAGCAAATCGTTACTTTTTAAAATTATTAACGATTCGAGTAACAATAATGAGTTATTTTTCATAAAAAGTAACGGTGACGAGTTATTTCTTTTTACAGTAACGTTCGCAATCCTGCTCCTGCGAGTATCGTTTACGTAACATTCTTACCTGAGGCGAAAGTGCGTTCTTTTTGGCAGGTTTATTAAGCACCACTTTTTGAATTCCATTTTCCAAAGTGCTCAGAATAAATGAATTTACGTGTGCCATTCTGGCAGATTTCTTTAAAGTAGTTTAGAATTCGCGCAATCTTTTCGTCGAACTTATAACCTCACTTTCACTTGGCACCGCTCATCCGCTTGTCGGAAATAACGATATATGTAGCTAATGTAAGAATAAAAAAAAATATGTAAAAAACGTGCCGTCTGTACTTTATAAACAGTTATTGATAGCTTTGCAAAAAAAGTTGTCGAGTTCTCCAGCTATTATATTGCTTCAGCTGAACTAAAAATTAGCTGCTCATGCTGACGTCATCTCGGGCTATCTATACTTAAAAAGATAAAAACTCCAATGAATGTATATTGAAAAATTATACTTTGTAATATGCAGATTTAGATGCAGCATATAGATGTCAGTACGAGCTGTATACAATTACAATATTACATAATGAAAATAATTCTTTGTGTGTGTTTATGTTTTATTTATACTGGCAAAAGTTGTTACACAATTTATAAACTAATGCTCTATTTGTGTTACATTAGCTATAAAGTGTATTCGTAAAGAAAACCCATGAAAAATATTTGGAGCTTATTGTAGCTTATTTTTTTTCACTTGTTATTTGTCTACTAGATAGAGTGTGTTAAAATACTCAATAATAATAAAATTAGCCGAGTGTCATATAATTTTATATACATTTTAATATAATTTTACAATGTATTTTAGTACTGCGTATGTCTATACTACTTTATGATATATGTATAATATCACAGGATTTCCCAAACTTGAAATATATATATATAAGATCAAATCTTTTTTTATTTTTCAAAGATTTATTTTTTTTCACATAGAGACAATTGATAACGAAAATATGAAGCATCTATTTCACGCGAAGCTGCAAATGTTTATAAATTGTATGACTACATTAAGAATGATTCCGTAAGAATGTTTCTCCTTAAAGAATCTGCTTAAGATTCCATACAGGAACACACGCCGCAAGAGAGTTTAGGAAATCCTGATCTATGCTATATGTATAATAAATGATGGACTCTGATGGATTTTTGATAATACAATGCATAATCACAGATTACATGGCCGTGTCACTGTCTTCTAGACAATATTTCACTACAAAAGTGATTTATTAGCAGCAACATTTCATGTTACGTATCACGGGCGTAAATCGCGTGAAATAGTCGAAATTTGAAATGTAAAAGGCTTGTAGCTGGCTCAAATGCGCAAAATACTTAAATGTTTCATGGACGTGTTTAGTTTGTATTCAAATAAGTATTCTTCGAAACGCAATTTAGGCGCGAAAGAATTGGAAGTTGTTGATAGAAGAGCTAATGCAGAAAGCTCCTCGTCTCTAGTATAACTTAGTATTATCTTAAACCTGATTAAATTTACTTGTAAATTACTATTGTCGCAGATTCAAACCGCAAAAATGAATAAACATGAATCACCTACTACCTTTAAATAATGTATGTTGCCAATTGCTTTACAAATCAGTGTAGTATGTATAATTTGATACATACATACTTATATACATATCTATAAAAATATGTATATTTGGTACGTGTATCTATATATATATTATAAATATTTAAAAAAAACGAGGAATGCCAATTTTGCTTATTAAAAGGATTTTAAGGACTGCATAGATGAATTCGTAGTATTGCTATACGAATGCTTTGGTACATTAAAATATCAAGAAATGTGTGAATACATAGATGAATGCATAAATTATGAAGATTGTAAATAAATATAGTCCTCTGGAAAGTATATTTTTCCTATGTAGCACTGCATCTCAGTATCTTGGAAGATTTTTAACGATTTTCTACTTAACGCCTTTAAGATTCATATAATTTACTAAAATTAAATAGTCGCGAAATTGGAATCATTAATTTCAAATATTTCAATATAACAGTTAGATGCTTGAAGTAGCCGATAAAATATCAATTTGATCTATTACGGCTTCAGGACCTTTTCGATGAATTTCTTTATATCGCGCATTTCCTGTGAAAATAATAAAAACAAGACAAACATTTATAATTTCTCTCTGAATGTAAGAAAAGATTCGACGAATGTCTTCCTAAAAAAAATGGTACTTTCTTACCTCTTCGGAAGAGGTGTGCATCATTCCTCGATAAGTTTTGAATTCCGCCTGCGTCATGAACTGTTTTATAAGCGATGCTGTCATTTGACCCCATCTATATGGCACAATTGGATCGCAATCACCGTGACATTGCAGCAGTGGTGTGTTCCTATTACCTATAGCCTCCTGAGATATAATTCGATATTATTCGATACAATTATATGATCCTACGATTATGTATGTGATGCAAAAAGAAATACGTACTGCTGGAAATTTTTGATGTAAAGGAAGCCATGCGGATAGAGCTATGATGCCAGCTAAAGGCTCTGGGAATGTAAGGGCACTGTACATGGCTAGGGCGCCACCTTGACTAAATCCTCCGAGAACGATGTGCTTGGTGGGTATCCCAGCCGCAACTTCCTCTGCTATTAACGAGTGCACCATTTCGGCAGCCTTACGTATACCCTCTTCATCCTCCGGGCCATTGGAGTCCAGAGTGCGTAGATCAAACCTAGATTTGGAATCAGGATCTATCAGTAATGATGCGAATACCAACTCGTAATCGTTTTCAATGGAAATTTTTGAATATTCTTAAAGGTAGATATATTCTTATGTTTGTCTTACCAAGAAGGCATTCTGAACCCTGCATTAAGCGTTACTGGCATCGTGGGCCTGAAACAATCAAAGAGAGTCACGTATTATAATATTATAAAATACTCAATTCCAATCGTGGGACATTTATAAAGATATTGACATACGCAGTAGGACAAATAACTTTGACATGAGGGGATCGCACGGCGCCCATGGAACTGGCCCAGCCATGTCTAAAAACAACATGTAACATAAAATGTTAAGAAGATCTGTCGTTTTTGTAACAGGAGGTGTGCTACGAACTGCATCCATGTGTGTCATAAATGTAATCTTACCCTGTATCGCCCAAGCCATGGAAAAATATTAACTGAAACATAAGTGCTTCTTAGTAGAGAAAGAGAGTATTAATTTTTTTTTCGGAAATATTCTTTAAAAAATATTTATTTAGATTTAAAATCTGCGTTTCGAGACAACGTCACGTCGCGTGTAACTCCACCGAAAGCGAGTGTCAAACATTGAAAGAAAGTGAAGAGGTCTTCACACGATGTGATAGATCGGTGACATATACTTCTTTCTCAGAGAAGTTGCATGCAACATTTGACTGTTTCCCTTAAGACCTGCTGTGCCTCGCGGAAGACGTGAATTACTAGTGAAAAAAAACTCGACTGTAAAATCGGTCGGAATCGAAACGGAGCAGCGGTGCATCCGTCGACGATTGCATGCCGAGGAAGGAGAAAGAAAGAGAGAGGCGCAACGGGATTACCTCATGTGTACATCGCGTAAACGTAATTCATTTATGATCAATTAGGATCACACCACCGCGAATGACATAACCAAAAACTGCCGCTTTACATCCGCGAAGGGGGTATCCTGATATCTACCGTTGCCGTGTGCTTAGCCGTGGCTGCAATCACGACCGGGCTCGTCATGTTGTGTCGCTTTTTTGGACGGCCTGGAACAAGTTCGAGTAATTGTATAGCAGTTTCGTAAAAAGCGTATAGAATACAGCACGAGAGAGTGAAAGAAGTGACTCCCTCTTCGTTCTATATCGTGTGGTTCTTTGTAGTAGAGAAGGGGTAGGAAGAAGAGAGAGAGAGAGAGAGAGAGAGAGAGCAGTGGTGTTAAACGCGCATTCGCGTGAATATTTAATTTAATTTCTATTTGTAATTTGGCATTTGATTTTCTTTGACCTCAATGATCGCCGATTACGTAAATTTGATAATTACGCGAAACTAAAATCATTCAATAATATCGGCGCGCATAAATGATTTCCGATTCTTCAAAATAAAAATTGAAAAGAGAAGCCGCTTGACACAAACCTGCGAATAACAAATTACCCATAGCTGCAGTTTTGATAACGCCGTGGTATTTATAGATTTTCGATTGATGTCACAATAAACGCTCAATTCTGCGACCGATCAAGAGCGATTGACGCTATATATATATATATATAATATTGCTTGAAAAGAAGAAAGAAAAATCAGTCCAATATTAATTTATATTTGTACGACGAAATTGTCTGCACGCGTCAGTCAGTTCGAAAATGAATTACTAAAAATTTCGGACCAAGTTAGAAATTTTACGAAAGCCAATTCAGACGAATTTGTAAACGGGCGTGCTACACAAAGATCGAATAATCGGTCGATCGCGCCATTATTATTAATACACATGTTCGGACGTGTGATTGGTTGATGTTTTCGCGGAGATGTTCACACTGCTATACAAATCCGTATGAATATATCTTAATGGCCAAGGTGGCCATTCCTCTCCTATCAGCTGATTGCTTTTTGTAACTGGTTTGTCCTTGTTTTATGTCTAATTAACGATAAAAATATAATGACATAATAGCGTTGATAGTGAATGCTGCGGAAGCCAGCTCGAATGTCTACCTTAAGTCCCGAAACACAATAGATGTAGTAAGCCTTAAGCCGTAAGAAATTGACCAATCATAATCTATTATTCTCTTCAAATTCAACTGCAATTGGTCCATTTCTTACGGTTTACAACACCTATTGTGTTTCGGGACTAAGAGTTTATTGCAGACAAATTCGCTGCATAAAAAAATTATCCGGTCGTATTTCTATCGTACGGACGCACGTAAAATACGTTTTTATTTTTATTTTTTAATATTTCCTTTATGCATATATGCAGTTATACAAAATTCGTCTGGATAGGCTTTAAGAGCTATGAGTCACAGAGTATACACATAAGATTCAAGAATTAAACGAATCTACCACTCACAATTCTCGATAACGTAGAGATCGTGATTTTCAAACTCTCGGCCTGTGATTGGTCGAATTGCCTACTGCTCGAGTTTCGTTTGCTCACGCTTCTCTGCATGCGACGACTGGAATTCTTCAAATATTGTGCAACTGTGCGCGTCGAATTGTAATCACTACTAAGTAGTTATTAAATAATTACTCAGTAATTGCTCACTATATCGCTGTATCGTTTTAATGTGTACATTGGACAATATGGCGACTGCCGGTGCGATACCCGCCGTAATTCGAGGTCGCCCATCTATCGTTCCGGATAACGCATGGCCACGGAGTGAGTCGAATACGTTCAAAAACATGCGTACGTGGGTGCACACGTAGGCTAGGCGCCGTTGTTTTTTCCGTCACGGGAGAGCCGAGAGATTTATAGCGATCTTCGCGTAAAACGCTACTCAGCGATGTAAGTCGATGCGAGGTTTCGATCGAAGGCGTCTCCCGCACACGTGTAGATTCGTTCTGATATATGATAGATGTAAAAAAAAGAGGAGAGATAACCTGTCCCCGTCAAGGCGAACGCTGCTGTAAATAACGTCTCTTTCCTCTCGCTCGCTTTTTCTTTCGGACTCGCTGCGATAGAACGACGGTTTTTTAAATGTTTAAATTAATTCACGTGTCTGCGACATTCCTCCCTCATTTCGACCTCTCTCGGAATCTCGAACGTCGACCGTCACGAGGCTCCGCACGCGGTGCGCGCTGGTACACATGTGTTGAGTCGCGCGCGAAGAAATAATTCCTTCGACCGATAACGGCGATAACATCTCCCGAACTCATTGGTTCATGAACTTGTCGAATGACAAACAATGATAACGGCGGGTTATCCGTGCGGTTCTGCTTAATTGCGGTTTGTTGCGCTGCGATTGCCTAGAAACAAAATCGCTGCGTTGCAAGTATCGTATTCAATAAAATAACGTTCGTTTTAATAACTCGCTCTAGAGTTTATCACTCGCGAGAGAAAACCAGTGTGTAAAGGCGTAGAGAGAGACTAAAAGCCGTGCGGTATGACGCCAAAGATAGTCGTTGTCGGTTCATGCATGATTGACTTTACCTGGTGAGTAAAGACGAAGCCTTTTCTACAGTCTACACGTTACAAAAGTCGACGCTACCTCGCGTGGATGATATATCGATTATTGTAATATGTGATTATTAATATTTCAATTGTATTGTAGTTACGATAAATATTGCATTGTACAATAATAAATATAATCACAAAATTGCGTAAAGAAAGATATATGCTTTCTCTAATGTATGTGTGAGTTTGCGCCGTACTAAATCAATTGTCGAACGACTGAATCTGATTACAGATTCAGTCGTTTGACAGATTACAGAACAGTATAGTTACAATCCGTATGATATTATATCTTTTTTTGAATGTTATCGCTTTTAGTTACTCCCCACGATTGCCCAAACCTGGCGAGACGGTAGTCGGGACTAAATTCGAAAAGAATTACGGCGGCAAAGGCGCCAATCAATGTGTGACGGCTGCTAAACTCGGTGGATCCACAGCACTTATTGCTTCAGTAGGCATTTATTTTTTTTTTAGACAAAACCAACTTGCTATTTCTGCGTCTGGCTTTTTTCTTTTAATATTGATCTTTTACGTAATACTGTTTATACGACTTCTCTTATGAACTTTATGTGACACATTACGATTTCTTATCTCTTATCGCAGTTAGGGTTTGACACGTTTGCTCAGGAATACTTAGAGATTTTCAAGAGAGAAAATATAGATGCGTCTCGTGTGAAGATACAAAGCGATAAGCACAGCGGCATTGCTCACATTATCGTTGCTGAAAATGGTACGTTTGTCTTAAAAATTAAAATAGAATCTTCCCGAGTGCTTCCTTGAAATTGCAATTCACGACGGAAAGCGACGTCAACCATGATTAATTTAAGAGAATCCCAAATAAATAATACGCATTAGAACCAAGCTTCTCGTTAAGATAATTCCGATGGTTCCGTCGCGCTGTATACATATATATAAGTAATCAGGGCGTATTTCGAATATCGTTCGCAGGTGAGAACAGCATCGTTATCGTATTGGGCGCAAACGAATCGTTGACTCCGGAATATGTGGATTCCGCCGTTGACGTGATCAAAAGCGCGAACGTTTTATTATGCCAGTTCGAGGTACCGCTGGAAACTACGCTGCGTGCGTTGAAATTACATCGGGGCCATGGTTCGTTTTCTCACCTTTCTTTTTCTTCACGATTCAGAAATATTCGTACACGCATATCTTTCTCTTTCGAAGCCGAATTATCGCAAGCCCCTGAAAAGACGAGGCGTGTCAATCTAGCGTATAGTCGCCGTATCAAAGTTTACGCGAAACATGTTATCTTCGCAAACGTAAGTGCGGTTTGCATTTTTCGGATAAATATCGGATGTGTCGTTTTGCAAGGTGATTTGCGATATCGCGGTTTCCGAGAGCTGCGGATACATTTCTACGTATAAACGTAACGTGGTATATAGGACTCTCGATTGTCAACGGAGCGCCCGCGCTGGAGAACCCTGACCCGGAAATTCTCAGACTGTGCGACATTTTCTGCGTCAACGAGACGGAGGTACGTAAATGATTAGCATGCGGTCGGATAAGATCACGATAACGCGGTTTTCCTTTTTTTTTATACGATACGCTAAATATAGAGCCGAAGAATTAAATTAGTTTGTGACGTATGAGATACACACGTTATGACGTTTAAGGGATCCCGTTGCGCGCTTTTTCTAGGCGGAAATTATGACGGGCGTTCAATCTGTGAATCCATCGAATATACAGCAAGTCACGGATAAGTTCCTGGCTAAGGGATGCAACGCCATCATCATCACCCTCGGACCTCTCGGGGCTGCGTACGCGTCGAAGACGAACAGATGCGTCACGCGGATTCTTACTACCGAGGTCCACCCTGTAGATACTACCGTACGTATTGCATACACAGTGTCGCAAGACTGTTTTGATTTATTCCGCGATGAATATTTTGAGTCGTTATATTCCACGAAATTGAAGAAATTATTTTTTCGAAGGCACACTTTTTTTTAATTACTTAATTACGCTACGCGATGATTCCGAGACATTTCCTATAAGTTTTTATTAGATTTAACGCGGCAACTTTTGTTTTCATTCTTTCACACGTACGATCCGTACTTCCGGCTTATACAAATCTTGTAAATTGATTTCTCTACGTTTATTATCTCGGCTGAAACGCGCGGTGAAAGTATTTGACGTATTTCCGTCGGGTCGCGATCTTTTGAGCGAACAACCGGTCAATTTCCGGTCTGGACTGGAAGCGCTGATTCACTTAGTGATTCACTCGAGTGATTGGCATATATTTAAGATGGAATTGCCTCAGGTAGCTAAGTGTAACGGTATGCGATACACACAGGGTGCCGGGGACGCATTTTTGGGTGCGTTCGCATATTTCAAGGCGTATCATCCGCAGTTGCCGATGGACGAGTGTATCAGGAGAGCTTGCACGGTCGCCACGCGTTCCGTTCTTAAATTCGGCACACACGCGAGCTTCCCAACGAGAAACGATCTGTCGGGAGATTTATTTGGATAAACAAAAAGGGAGTTACCTCTGAAGTGTGTTATTTACAGATCTGATATTTTATCTCTTCCGTTTATATATACACATCTGAAATCTGTTTTGTCGAATCTTTTTAGATTGAATATTTGCAGAATAAAAGTAAATATCAAAAGTTTTACGTGCAAAGTGCGTAAACATATATGTCCCATTTCCCAAAATCCAAAACACTTAAAAATAGCACGGGCGTTATTAATGCAGCAGATTAAATTGATGACAATAAAATACTTAGATGTGTAGATATGTGTTCCCATATGAGAATGTAGAATCCAAAAAAGCCAAATTACCCTGTATACATGTCTTATTTGTTCGCCAGTACATATAGGAGATTAAATCTTTTTTAATCGTTTAGAAAACCGGTTCCATCGTGGATCTTCTCCACGTAATTTTTTGCAACATCGTCGACGAATATATCAATTTTTTTTTGCGGTCAAATAGAATTCCCCCAAAAAATTCGAAGATATGTTTAAACAACAACAACATTAGCATAACGTAAATAGTGTTGGAGAACAAATTTCTACATCAATCTTGCAAAAAATGAACGGATTTAGAAAAAGTTAATATTTATTCTGAGATATTAAATTTCTAATCTGCGAAATCGGGGATCAGCTTTATCCTTACTTTTCTTTCTCTCTTTGTTTTTCCGACAGCCTGGTACCATCTGGCGTTCTAACTAAATTCCAAAAATGGAAAAAGGGGATTAATGTATTCTTATTTAATAACTTTAATGCATCAATTTGGAATAGGAAAAAATAAAATAATAGAAATTGTGACAAATAAAAGAAAAAGAAACAGCGATCAAATAGTACCAGTAATTCATGAAAAAAATTTAATAACTGCAGAAATAAATAGAAATTGATAATTTCGAGGATGTATATTTTTTCGAAGGTCAAAAAAATGTCTTTAGCCATGTCATTTATGTCGCGTTAGGAAATCTCATTTTAATATTACACGCATAACAAATAAATTAGTGTATTTTTAGAATTTCGAAGATATATATATATTTGCGCGCATACACACGCATACATGACGCTGAACGAAAAAAAAATACGGTAGGTAATGGTAGGAGTTAGTAAAAATTCCAAGCACTTTCACGATACGCACGTTCTCCAACCTTCTAAAAAAAAGGAGGCACGTCCCCGCGAGAGTGCCCAATGATTCCACCTCAACTGGTTCACGCGAACGTGTAGTCAGCCAGCATGGCATTATTCGAGAGAGGGAGAGTGATGGAAGGGGCACGCGTGCTTGCGTGTAAATGTCATTTTAAATCCTTTCGCAAGGTGGTGACGACTATTAATTTTTTGGCAGCTGCGTCGCAACGATGACGATAAGCCCATGCCCGCGCTCTTAGCGCGCTAAAATATTGATAGCTGCGCGAGGATAACGGAGCCTTATTGCAGCTTCATCCGGATAAGGAAATCACGGACCCGCGAAATCGGGAACGGATTGGTCCGATTGCCGGTGCTTGACACCTTCCGCGTGGTGTCTCATCGGTAAATCCTGCTCCGAGTTCAGGAAAGAGTCGGCAGTAGTTGGTAATCGGGAGTCCTTTCCCTCGAACTGATCGCCAGTACGTGTAACTGGCATGTGTCGTGCGGCACCTCGGCCAGATCGGCGGTATCTGAGAGGCGCGCGCGAGCGTCAACGCGGAAAAATTGTGCCGCGCGTAAACGTCAAAAGGGAAAGGCGTTGCGTTACTACTTTCGAAGTAACCCCCCTTGCGCGCTCTTGTCTCGCGCGTAATCGTCATCGTCGTCATCATCATCCTCGTGGTGTCGTACGTTGAGGATACCGCCGAGGGGACGGGATTCCACGAAGCACGAGACACTCGGTCTCTCCTCTTTCCGCTATAGGTGGGCATTACACTGAGGTGTGACGTCAATGCCTGAGGTGGTTAGCGATACTGAATCCATGTTTAAGGGAATAGTCGGCGGCAGCAGAGGCGGCGGCGGCAGCGGCGGTGGCAGGTTCATCGAGAGGGAACGAGGAGCTCGGTGACGTCAAAGAGGAGGGCGCGCATCCTCGAAGAAGAGGAAGCCGCCGCGCCGCGTGACCGAAGAAACTCTTCTCGGGGCCCCCAGCCCCGGCCCCGGCGCTCAGGGGGGCTGCGGACAAAAGGAGAGGGGGGACGATTAGTCACGTCTTCGTGTATACCGGCACGCGCAAGCCCCCCGTCAAAGTGGGGCAACGCCACCCACGTGCACGTTCGCGGGTAGGATAAAAAATCCTTCGGGGATCAGGGAATGCTCAGTTTTGAGTAAACCATTAAGCGAGACGATCGAACCGAGGCGAAGAGAGACAATCGCCTTGTCCCTCGGTCTTACAAGTCAAGTGTTAAGTGAGCCACCGAGAGAGAATCCGCCGGGAAACCAGAAAATCCACCGAGACTCTCGCGTATCTTGCGCTGGTCAGCACCGCATGGCAAAACTTCGACTGGCGAATCATCACAGAGAATTGCGTGGCATCCAGGCCGAAAAGCAGCTATATTATCAAAATATTTTTGGCTTGCATCACGTGGTCGAAAGATACGTTGAAGGTCGGCCAAACCTGAAAAAATTCGATTCGAAAACACTACGTCTGCGTATTCACGTCTTCCAGTGCCTTGCTGAGATACGCACCGTCAGTTTTGCCGAATTTCAAAGGAAGCTCAATTGGTGAAAGAACTTAGGAAGATAATCCATTTTCGACGGTAAAATTGATCAATCGAGAGCTTGAAAAAATCTTATTGAATCACTGTTATCGATTTTGCAATCGCTCGATCGTATCATTTTCATTACGATCGCGGAAACGAAAAATTATTTGGAAAGTATCCAAGACAAGACGACATCATTTACAGAGAAGGATATTTTAATTGCTAATAAAGCGCTTGCAATTTGGACTGTTGGATTAATTTAGTGGAAGAAATAATCATCTATCGAATAAAAAATTTAGGTTTGATTTTTGATCCTATTATCTCCATGTACAATTAAGTGAAAAGTTATTCCACTGTGATTAAGAAACAAGAATAAAAATATAAAAAAATCCTAAGGTTAGTGCACTGGAAAGGAAGCTGAGATTCCGAATTGTAGAAGAAGAAGGAGAACAATAAAGGGATCATATTGATAAAGATCTCCGCGAGGGATTCTTTCATGCAAATTTTGAACTTATAATCGACTTATATCGACATAATGGCGATATTCAGCGTCCGATTTTGCTTGCCTGCCCTTGTTGCCTGTGTCATCGTCAACATAGCGCTCGTTCAAGGTCGGAGTCTAAAACGACGACACGGACATCACACTCACTCGGATTATTACAATTTCGAGGAATCACTGCCACGGCATTTATCGGGACGCCTCGAGGATGATCGCGATTATTATGAACAGATGGAAAGGCGCGAATATCCCCATGTTCTGGATCGTTCCTCGGAGTATTTGGAGGATTCGGAGGAACGAGTACCGTTTCTCCGTCGATATAGGCAGCACGGACACGGTTTGAGAGATCGCGAGTCATTACGACGAAGAGAGAACTCCCTGCGCAAGCACGAAGACTTTGACGCGCTCTCAATGAGGTTCGTCGCCAGGAGAAAACGTCACAACAAACGCGGGAACATCGTGAATTACCAGAGCAAGAAGAACTCGATACTGTGGTGGCAACCCGAGGAAACGCCGTCCGGTGAAAAAGCCGAACTCTTCGAGCTGGAGGTGAAGGAGGCGCAGAACAGCTCCATTTGCAACTACACCGTGGAGTCAGTACCAGATACCCGGGGTTCCCGGGTACCGAAGGATCTGGAACACGTGAGGTGCAATCACATCGGCAGCAGCTGTCAGAGTACCGGCACCTACTGCTGCATACAGACGTATAAAAACATCGAGGTGTCTTACGGCGATGGCAACATGGAGACAATGAAGCTCTACGTTGGCTGCGTGTGCGCTCTTCAGGTCCTCAATGATACGCAAGTGATGGGGTGGGATCTATCCATCAATAATTGACACCAAGGACTCGCGAGGATAACTTGGCGGAAGAGGG